TTATTTTCCCTCCAATCCTGAGGCCACCCTCCTCTTTATAGAGTCCAAGTTTCTTGGATAATTTGCCCATTGTACAGATTGAATAGATATGGAGAAAGAATACAACCCCTTAACACACTCTCTTCTAAATTTTAAACCCTGCAGTGTTCCCCTCCTCTGTTCATGTAACAGCTTTTTTGTCCAAGTATAGGTTCTGCATGAGCACAATTAAGTGCTCGGGGATTCCTATACTTCTCAATGTCAGCCACAACTTGTTATGATCTACATAGTCAAATACCATTACATAGTCAATAAAGTACAGATAGACAGTCTTCTGGTATTCTTTACTTTTAGCCAGGATCCATATGATGTCAGCAGTAATATCCCTGGTCCCACAGCCTCTTTTAAATCCTGCTTGAACTTCTGGCAATTCCTATCTATGTACTGTTCTAGCTGTGTTTGAATAATCTTCAGCACTATTTTGCTTGCATGTGATATTAATGATATTGTTCTACATTTTCCACATTCATTTGGATCACCTTTCTTGCTAAAAGTGAGGAGTACTTGAAGCACTTGTTGCAGAAGATAAAGGAATGCAGTCTTCAGTATGGTTGCATCTCTATCTCAAGAAAACAAAGATTCTTACCACTTGATAAATATAAAGCTTCTTGATGGAAGGAGAGGAGATTGAAACTGTCAACAGCTTCATCTTGCTTGGATCCACAATTAACACGCTAGGTCCCAGCAGTCAGGAAATAAAAAAGATGTATGCATGTTGTTGATGTTGTTAAGTGCCGTCAAGTCAATCATGACTCATAGTGACCCTATGAACAAAAGACCTGGGCCCTGTTCTAGCCTGCACAACCTTTTCCCATTTCCGCAGTCACCTTATCAATCCACCTGAATGAGGGTCTTCTTCTCCTTTGCTGATCCTCCACACTTCCAACATCATGCCATTCTCCAAGGAATAGCACCTCCAACCAACATGTCCAAAGTATGTGAGGTGAAGCCTCATCATTCTTACCTCCAAATATCACTCTGGCTGCACCATTTCCAATACATATATGTTCATTCTCCTGGCCATTTATGGGATATTCAGAGCTCTTTTCCAACACCACAGACCCAAGTCGTCAATTCCTTTTTGTGTCAGACTTATTCATTGCCCAAAGTCTTGACGCATAGCTAGTAATAATTAAGACTATGGCCTGAATAAGACACACCTCGTCCTCAAACTGACATCACTACTTCTCAATAATCTGAAAAGGACCCTAACTGGAGTGCATTTCCTTATCTCCTGCCTGCTCATACCAAGTGTGTTAATTGTGTATCCAAGCAAGATGAAGCTGTTGACAGTCTCAATCTCCTTTCCATCTATTGGGACACTGCCTATTGGTCCAGTGGTAAGAATCTTTGCTTTCCAAACATTGAGATGCAATCCACACTGAAGGCTGCATTCTTTGATCTTCTGCAACAAGTGCTTCAAGTCCTCCTCACTTTCAGCAAGTAAGGTTGTGTCATCTGAATAGCACAGGTTACTGATGAGTCTCCCTCCAATCCTGATGCCACACTCCTCCTCATAGATTCTTTGGAAAATTTTCTCAGCATACAGATTGAATAGGTATGGGCAAAGAATACCACCTTTGCACACTCCCATCCCAATGCCAAACCATGTAGTGCTCCCTTGCTCCATTTGCACAACAGCCTCCTGGTTCAGGTATAGGTTATACATGAGCAAAATCAACTACTCTTGTATTCCTATTTTTCTCAATGACAGTCAAAACTTGTCATGATCCACACAGTCAAATGCCTTTGCATAGTCAATGAAGCACAATTAGACATTCTTCTGGTATTCCTTACTTTCAGCCAGGGTCTATCTGTCATAAGTAATGACATCCCTGGTACCACACCCTTTCTAAATCCTCCTTGAACTTCTGACACTTCCCTATTTATGTACTGTTCCAGTTGTTTTTTGAATGGTCTTCAGCAGTATTTTGCTTGCATATCATATCAATAGTATTGCCCTATAATTTCTACGTTCAATTGGATCACCCTTCTTGGGAATAGGAACAAATATGGATCTCTTCCAATCTGTTGGCCATACACCCATCCTCTAATTTCCTGGAATAGACTGATGAATGCGTTAAAGGCTGCATCTTTAATTGAAACAAGTCACTTGATGTCTCATCTATTCCTGGGGTTTTATTTTTTGCCAGTGCCTTCAATGCAGCTTCCACTTCCTCCTTCATTACCATTGGCTCCTGTTCATATGATACTTCTTGAAATTTTTCAGTGTCAATCAATTCTTTCTGGTATAGTGACTCTTTGTATTCCCTCTATATGTTTCTGATGCTTTCTGGGTCATTCAGTATATTGCCCATAACATATTTCAATATTGTGACATGAAGCTTAAATTTATTTTTCAGTTCTTTCAGCTTGAGAAATACAGAGTGAGTGCTTCCCTATTTATTTTCTAATTCTACTTCTACACATTCCATAACACTTTGCTTTGTAATCCCGAGCTGCCCTTTGAAATAATCTGCTCAGTTCTTTCGCTTGGGCCTATTTTCCTTTAGATTTTGCTTCTCAATGCTCCAGTGTAGTGTTTAGAGTCTCTTCTGACATCCATTTTGGTATTTTTCTTTTCCCTTCATTTTTGTAATGACCTTTTTCCTTTGTCAGGGATGATATCAAGGATATCATCTGATCATCTATCATTGGTGTTCAATACCTCAAACTTATTCTTATGATGATCATGAAATTCAGATGGAATTTATCCAGGATTATATCTCGGTTCCTGTGGGCTTATAATTTTCTTCAGTCTCACATATTCCAACTACTGTTTCTTCTTCACTATTTCCTTCTTTTGCATTCCAGTCACCAATTATCATTAACATATCCTGATTGTGTGTTTGGTCAATTTCAGACTGCAAAATTTGGTAAAATTTCTCAATTTCTTCCTCTTTGGCTTTAGATGTAGGAACATATATTTGAATAGTTGTCTTATTAATAACAGGTCTGTCTTTTATGTGTGTGTATATTATCCTATCACTCACCACATTGTGTTTCAGGATAGAACTTGAAATTGATAAAAGGATAAAATTTTGAAGTTGTCAATGATTTATTTTATTTGGATCCACAATCAGCAGCCATGGACGTGGCAGTTAAGAAATTTAAAAATATATCCAATACAACTCATAGTAAACCATATAAGCAATGAATCAGAACATTGCCCTATCCTGAACCATCATTGTGAATTCTACCATGCTTGAACTCATTGTTAAAGTCACTGTGTCAATCATCTCATTGAGGATTATCCTTTCTTTCACTGACCTTTTAACTTTTCCAGTAAAAGGGGTTGTGTGTGTTTTTTTTCCCCAAGGAAGAGCTCCTCCTTATGTCATGTTCAAAGTATATGAGACAAAAATTTCACCATCTTATTCTTTAAGGAGCACGTTAATTAACTGTCCTCCATCACGAATTTCTTTGCTCTTTATATTCAATACTCTTCGCGAATACCACAGTTCAAAGGCATTGATGATGGTTGTCATACTAGATGCCATTGAGTCAAGTACGACTCTAGCGACCCCATGAACAAAAGATCTGAACCCTGGTCTATTCTGTGTCATTCTTACCACCTCTGACACATTAGAGTCCATTGCTGAAGTCACTCTGTCAAGTAATCTCATTGGGGGACTTCATAGGTCTTCCTTATTCATTGTCCAACTTTCAGGTGCATAAGGAACAATTAAAAATATCATGACTTGGATCGGTTGCACCCTATTCTTTAAATGAATATCCTTATACATTAACCCTTTGGAGAGTTCCTAGATAACAAATCTCTCCAGTAGAACTTGATTTCCTGGCTACTTTCCAACATCATGTCTCTCTCCAAGGAATAGAAACTCTTAGCAACATGTGCAAAGACTATGAAGTGAAACCTCCATTCTTGTCAACACTCTTGCTACACCCTCTCCAAGACATATCTATTCATTTTCTTGGCTGTCCATGCAATGTTCAGTGCTCTTCTCCAACACCACAGTTCAAAAAGAGAAAATCTCTCCCTGTAATCCTTATTTATTGTCCAGGTCTTGGATGCATGACTAGTAATTGAAAAGATCATGGCCTGAATCAGACACATCTTAGCCCTCACTCTGATATCACTACTCCCCAATAATTTGGAAAGGTCCCTAACTGCAAATTTTCCTATTGCATTGGATCTCTTTATTTACTGACTGTTCATATCAAGGGTATTAATTATGTATCCAAGCAAGATGAAGCTGTTGGCTGTTTCAATCTCCTCTCCATCCACCATGACACTTTCCATTGGTCCAGTGGTAAGAATCTTTGTTTTCTTGATATTGAGACGTAATCCATACTAAGGCTACATTCCTTGATCTTCTGCAACAAGTGCTTTAAATCCTGAGAGATTACTCAGGATAAAAGGTACTTTTTTATTTTCAGAAAGAATGTCTCTGCATTCACTGACAAACCTAGGGCAAGATACTTCACTTGTCTGTAAAATATAAAAGATCTCAACAGAAATATGGTCATAATAGATAACAAGTGCTTAGTCAATGTTTGCTATTATTATAATACTTAATTAAAGAAACGGTTGTGACTAGTTGTCTCCACTGAAGAAAATTATATGACTCTAAAAGTATCAACATTTGTTAACTGCTCTGCCCAAGGCAGTCAAGCCACTATGTAGAAATCACTTGTTTTAGAGAAGTTGTTAACAGGATAACCAAAATAAATCACCATAGGTATAGTTCTCTCTCTGCCAGCCCAACCGACTTCCTTATTACTTTAATTGTAAAGGCAGAAAACCTGCCAAAGGGTAGATATATTATTTTAATTAAATGACATATATTTGGTAATTACCCTAACTTCTGGGGCTCTTATGTGTCTGTACTTGATAAATTTACATTCATGTATTATAATCAGAGACTAATGAAGATAGCTTTAGAGTTTTACAGTCCCTATAAAATTAGAGGGTAGTCTTTTACTGAAAGTTGTTTCACCTTGTTCCAAACTGGTTTGGAAGAACAAAGGTGAGGTGTAAGGGTGAAGTATAGGTAATCTTAACAATAAAAGCTGTAATAATTAATAACGTTTATTTACATAGAACTTTACAGTTAATGAAAGACTTTAACACACCTTGTAACACTTGACTATGGAAGAGCTTCAACATTCAAAAAAGTGAGATATAATAGTAATAAAAATGTTTTTAACTATGACTGCAACACCATTCTTCCTCTGTTCTTTATTTCTGGCCTAGTATACCATGTTGTCTGATTCAAAGCGGCTGATCCCAGTCTATCTCATCTCAATAATGCCTAAAATGTCAATGTTCATTCGTTCCATTTTTTTACAGCTTCTAATTATATTCATGCTACTTGCATTCTACATTCCAACTCTTAAAGGATGTTTGCATATTTTTTTTTCTCTGCGTTTTTTTGACTCTCAATCTGGGCTTTATCTCTAACAATATAGCTACCTGTATTTTTCTCTTGTTCACAGAGTTTTCAGAGGCCTACTATTTCAGAAACGGATGGTTAATCATCCTCCTTCTTGTTGTTGTTGTTATGTGTCTTTGAGTCATTTGCGACTCATAGCAACCTTATGTACAACATCCCTAAACCCTGTTCTGTCCTGTGCCAATCACACTGTCTCCAACACAGCCACCCCAATTACCCCAATCACTGAATCAATCCACCTCACAGAGGGTCTTCTCCTCCTGTGCTGTCCCCCTGCCCTCCCAAGCATGACATTCCTCTCCAAGGACCAATCCCTCCTTACAACATGTCCAAAGTATGTCAGACGAAGCTTCAGAATCCTTGCCTCCAAGGAGCAGCCTGGTTTAACCCTCTCCAGGACAAACTTGTTTGTTTTCTTAGCAGTCTATGGTACATTCAATAATCTTCTCCAGCACCACAGCTCAAAGGCATCAATTCTTCTTCTATCCTCCCTAATCATTTTCCAGCTCTCTTTGTCTGTCTTAATCTGGGAGCTCTGCTGAAACATCCATACAACGAGTGACTTTCTGGTAATTGAGATACTGGCGATATATCTTCCAGCATCACTGTAATCCACAAATTATCATAGTAGAGCAAACTGACAGATGGGTAGTGTACTAACAAGAGCAAATGATAAACAAGCAAGTATATACATAACTAGGTTTTAAAATAATTAGCAATATGTAAATAAATTCCAGTACAACATATTGACAGATAATTGTTTTACTTCCAACAGCAATCATGCATGCAAATACTATGATATAGCATTCAACTAAGGCCTATGGCAGTATGATAATGTGGGGCTCCGGTTGAGTGCTGGAGCCACATACTGGTATATTGTTGTTATTGTGAGTTATAGAGTCCGACTAACCCAGCTCTGACCCTCCAGTTGGTTTTCAAAAGGATTCCCTAGTATATTTCATAGGAGAAGAATGGCCATCCTTCTCCCTTGGGGCGGATAGTGAGTTCAAACCACATGCGTTTTAGATGGCAATGCAGTTTTTACCACTAGGCCACCAGAGCTCTCAAATTAGCTTACCCCTGTAATACATTTTTATTATTGTATTAGGTAAGCACTTCATAAAAACTGTAAAACATTGAGTGGTACTATGGTTTAGCACTCAACCAACAGTAAAAATATTTGCAATTTGAAACTACACATGGAAAGCCTTGGAAGACAATCTACTTCAGAAAAGATCACAGTTTGAAAATCTTGTGAAGTTGTTCTACACATAGAATTACAATGAATCATTTTCACACAACTAACAACTTAAATGGCTCACATAGTGGCAGTTTGAATCTACCTGCTGCTGCATGGAGAAGACCAAGTCTGACCTCTGCTAGCTCCCTAAAGGGGAACTGTTCCCATCATCCACATCCACAATACAAAATCAATTTCGATGAGATTACATATGTTCCCCAAACTCTCATGCCTTTTTCTTCTAATTTCTGCACCCATTTTGTGGCTTTCTTGTTGTCATGGTGGACGTGTACATTTGAGTCAGAAGTGACCGTTAGCTGACCCTCCAGTGGTTTTTTCAGAAACAGGGAATCTCATGGGAGGCGATTGCCCATCTTTCTCCCTTGGAGTAGCTCGTAGATTCAAACTGTGTATGCCTTCGGCATTGTAGGATAGTTCCTGTCCAGAGCCCAAGTGTGTCCTAAATCTGTTGCAGTGGATCATGGAAGACACAGGACCAAACTTGTTACTGTGGGGTTTATTAGGGAAACTAACAGTATACAATTTCAGTTGGCTACAGAATATAATTTCTCAGTCAAGACAGCTTCTGAACTGTGCTCACAGGCCCTCTAGCAAGCAGCCTCACTGCTTTAGGGCAATGTTAGTCCTGCTAGTTATGGCTTTCCAGCCCCAGTTCTCTAACGTACTTGGGCTAGGGCTTCTCCCTCTAGTCCCATGAGGTAGGAGTCATAATGTCTCATGTCAGGTCTATGGTTCTCTGCTGCAGTTGCTGCTACTATTATGTACATATGGCTTGTATAAGAATCTCTAGACTTGAAGAGAACACACTGAATTCTCTGTTTCTTCTTTGCTTGTGGTGAGATTCTCAATTCCTACTGCTGAATCTGTTCAATTTAGTGGCGACACTAGCGAATCCCTTTGTGGATAGGCTAACACACCCTATTAACATATTCCCATCTAAATAGCCAGTAAAGGCATTTTTAAAAATAAACACCACCACTGATAACCGTCTGGTTTTTCTAGGCATTGAGCTTCACATTTAAATAATTAACTCTCCTTTTACAATGTACAATAAGTATATTCATGAAAGAGTGTAAGCAATGCTATATTCAATACTCTTCTCAAGCACCACAGCTCAAAGATTTCAATTTTCCTATCATACCTAGGCATTGTCTTGCTTTCTGACACATAGCGGGCAATTGTGAAGACCGTGGCCTGGATCAGGAGCACTTTAGTCTCCAGACTGACATCATTGCTCTTCAGTACTCTGGAGAAGTCTGTGAAAGCAGGCTTTCTCAATACAATTTATATTTTAATTTCCTAGCTGCTGGTACCAAGAGTGTTGGTTGTGGAGTCAAACAAACTAAAGCTATTAACAGTGTCTATCTCTTAAATGAGATGGAAAGCCATTTCCAATTTTGTCTAGAATGAAAAGAGACTGAATAAGTAAAACATTGTTGAAAAAGAAAAATAAGATAAGAGGCATCATACTCCCTGATCTCAAACCCTCCTCCATAACCATAGTAATCAAGATAGCATAAATATAATAGAAATTGAGAATTCAAAACTTGACTACCTATATATGGTCAACCGATATTTGACAATGAGACAAAATCAGTTAAGTGAGGAAATAACAGTATCTATCAAATGATACTGGAAAACTGCCTACAGAAAATTGATGCAAGATTCACAATTCACTATACACTAAATCCAGCTCAAGGTGGTACCTAGGAGTAAAACCAAAGATGGTAAAGTTCATCAGAGAAAAACTATGAACAACTCTAGAAGTCCTAATCTATAGCATGAATTGATTTCCAAACAAAGCTAAAAACCTACAATCAGGAGAAGATAAAATTGATGAGTTTTTGTTGTTATTGGTTACCTTCTAGTCAAACAAGACTCATAGCAATCCTTTGAACAAAAGGCCTGAAGCCTCTCTACAGCTAATGACATTTATCAAAGTTCATACAGTTTCCAGAGGAATGTTGCTTAGGAAGTGGATGCCACTCCTGCTTCCAAACCTGTTATAGTATGTTATCGTTCGTTGAGTTGCCTGTGATGTATAGGGAACCAAGGACCTTCTTAAAAATCAAATCCCTATATACATCCAAATATTTCTGCAAAAGAGTAATAAGGAACAGAGTAAAAAGAACTGGGGGTGTAGGAAGGGGGGAAATTGGTAATGAAAAATCTAGTAAGAGACTCACATCTAAAATTTATATAATAACCTAGCACTTACACAAGAAAAAGGTAAAGTCATAAAATTCAGCACAAAAAATAAATATTTCTTGAAACAAGAAATTCAAATGGCAAACAAACGCATAAAGAAATGTTCAAAATTCCTAGCTATCAGAGAGATGCAAATTAAAACAACAATGAGATACCATCTCACCTCCAAAAATTTGCAAAGTTCCACAAGAGAGCAAACAACAAATTCTTGGAAGAATGTGCAGAGATTGAAACTCTCATTTGCTGCTTGTAGGAACTGAGTGTGGAAACTACAGAACAATAGCATTGATTTCACATGCAAGCAAGATTCTACTGAAGATTATCCAAAAACGACTGGAAGAGTACATCAGCAGAGAACTGCCAGAAGTCCAGGCTGGGTTTAGAAGGAGTTGTGGTACTAGGGATATTGTAGCTGATGTTAGATGGATCTTAGTTGAAAGCAGAAAATACCAGAAAAATGTCTATCAGCGTTTCATTGATTATGCAAAGGCATTTGACTGTGTGGATCATAATAAACTGTGGCTGACTCTGAGAAGAATGGGAATCCCAGAACACTTAATCATGTTAATGCGAAACCTATACTTGGACCAAGAGGCAGTCGTCAAAACAGACCAGGGCAACACTGAATGGTTCAAAGTTGGGAAGGGTGTGAGCCAGGAATGTGTCCTATCTCCATACCTTTTCAACCTGTAGGCAGAGCAGATTATCCGAGAGGCTGTGCTCTATGAGGAGAAGCGTGGCATTAGGATTGGTGGAAGATCTATCAACAATCTTCGTTATGCAGATGACACAACCTTGCTCGCTGAAACTGAGGAGGACCTCCTGCACTTACTGCAGAGGGTCAAGGACTGCAGCCTTCAGTATGGACTGAGGTTCAATGTCAAGAAGACAAAGATTCTCACCACTGGACCAATTGGTAGCATCAGGATGGATGGCGAAGAGATTGAGATTGTTCACAGCTTTAGTTTGCTGGGCTCCACAGTCAACACTCTTGCCACCAGCAGCCAGGAAATCAAAAAACGTATTGTGATGGGGAAGTCTGCTGTTAGGGACCTCTCTAAAGTACTCAAGAGCAACGGTGTCTCTTTGGAGATGAAGGTGAGCCTGATACAGGCCATGGTCTTTGCAATCACTTGTTATGCATCAGAGAGCTGGACAATGACTAGGGAGGACAGAAGGAGAATTGACACCTATGAGCTGTGGTGCTGGAGAAGAGTATTGAATGTACCATGGACTGCCAAGAAAACAAACATATTCATCCTACAGAGGGTTAAACCAGGCTACTCCTTGGAGGCAAAGATTCTGGGGCTTCGTCTGACATACTTTGGACATGTTGCAAGGAGAAACAGGTCTCTGGAAAGGGACATCATGCTGGGTAGAGTAGAGGGACAGCACAGGAGGGGAAGACCCTCTATGAGGTGGATTGATTCAGTGACTGGGGTAATCAGGATGGGTATGTCAGAGGCAATGCGACTGGCACAGGATAGAGCACGGTTTAGGGCTGTTGTACATAGGGTCGCTATGAGTCGCAAACGACCCGACGGCACATAACAAAAAACAACAACAGGAATGTGAAATGGTACAAGCACTGTCAAAGACAGTCCTGGAACTTTCTCATAAAGTTAGTAATAGAAATGCCATCTGACCTAGCTACCTAATTACTGAGAATAAACTCTAAAGAACCAGAGCCATGATGCAATCTGATGTATGAGCATCCATGTTTATTATATACAGCGTTATTCATAATAGCAGAGACAAAAGCAGCTCAAGTTCCTGAGAAAAGCTATGGTACATCTACTACATAGAATATTACACAGTACTGAAAAATAACAAACTTATAATATCCTATCCAACATGGTTAATCTTAGAGACATTATGGCTGAGTGCAACACCTCAGTCTCACAAGGACACATACTGTATAAGAATACTGTTATAGCTATTTCCTCTTTCACCAAGGACCTGCCAACATGGGCCGCATTCATACCAAGACCGTGAAGAAGGCGGCCCGGGTCATCATTGAAAAATACTACACGCGCCTGGGTAATGACTTCCACATGAACAGCTGCATGTGCTAGGAGATCGCCATTATTCCCAGCAAGAAACCCCGGAACAAGATAGCAGGCTATGTCACACATCTGGTGAAGCGGATTAAGAGAGGGCCTGTGAGAGACATCTCCATTAAGCTGCAGGAGGAGGTTTCAGCCCTGGATCAGGAGATCATTGAAGTAGATCCTGATACTAAGAAAATGCTGAAACTCTTGGGCTTTGGCAGTCTGTTCAACTTACAGGTCACTCAGCCCACAGTTGGGATGAATTTCAAAACAACACGTGGAGCCGT